GTAAGTGACTAATAAAAACAGAAGAAATGAGAACACTGTTCTGGTAATTAAAATCCCGCAGAGCTTTCTGTTCTAAACGGGAGAATACATTTAATATAGTCTATAAAAAATGTTCCCCAGCAGTAATTAACCTTTCCACTCAAAAGCCTAGTGTAATGATACTTTAACTTCAGCAACACACAAAAATACAAGAATAACTTACGAGAAACAACACAGGAAATAACCATCTTCGGGACAACCTGCTACTAATATGTTTATAGAGTAAATTATGATTTAATGAAGATATTCTTAGCAATACAAATGTTCATACTCCTTTTTTTTTTTTTAATTCAGCTAGGGGTTTTATTTCATTTACCTCATTAAAGAGGTGACAGTGTAAGAATCTACCTTGCAAGTTAAAGAAATGTACCATTTGGTCATGCTCTGTACTTTCAGACCACCTTGGTTACACAGATGGGCAGGCTGAAGAAAAATTAAGTGCTCTGTCTTGTAACAGTTAGTGTTAAAACAAACCATATACATCGCATTTCTGTTAGCTGAAATCATAACCAAAAAAATTAGTGCTCTGCCTTATTTTTTTTTTCAGAATAAACTTTCATAATTAAACTTTCTACTTTTCCAAGCAGCTGACTGTGTATTCCTGCACAGTGGGTGGTTTTCTCCACAGATATATTGACTTGGGCAATAAACAAAGCAGAGATCCCTGACTGGAGTTTACAGCTAAATTTAACTATGCACATTTTTAGTTAAATTTGCATAACTGTCTTTCAACATTAAGAAAAAATAAAAGTTGCAATTGAATGAATTTGGACATTGTATTGCTTTTTCAGAAAAAAAAAACCTGAGATTTAATTTGTAATTTCCATATTTACTGAGGTTGTACAAGGAAGTTTGTGCAAAAATTCCTGGTGCTGCCTTGGGGAGATTTTAAAGATGGGAGCATACTAACCTTTCACATGGAAATGAAGCTTCTCTTTAACGAAGATGGTTTAAATAATTATAAAATACTGATGAAGGGACACTACATTCTGGAAAGTAGTTTCTCTCTCTCTCCATCCCCAAACCAAAAATATATTTAAAAGGGTGTTTTGAAAAAAAAAAAAAAAACTTTTCCCTACCAGGCTGAAAATGTGTCCCCACAAAACATTAACAGGTCAGTCAGCATCAGTTTCTTATACTTTCAGATGGCAGAAACTGGATCTTTCATGGATTTCACAGTGAAAGTGATTTTTCGTATTTTCACAATACTGCTTCATCACTAACCCCTCAAAGTTATGTTGTGAACAGCCACAAATTCACCTTCTCTCTCTCTCTCTTTTTTTTTTTTTTTTTTTTTTGCAGCATCTCTTTTCAGATGATGTCCAGCATCCTGGACATCTGGAACAAGGGTCTTTCCTCTAATTCCTTTAAAGCTAAGTTACTTCACCAAGGTCTGCCTATCCACAAAAATTAGACATAGGGATACAGTTGTCCCAGCATAAAATGTTTTAGAGCAACACAAATATTTCCATACGGAAGACAGAAAGTCATACTACTCTGAGGTATTTTTCCAATATGAAAGTTGAATGTACACCAGGGATTATACTAGTATTGCTTTTTTAAACTGAAATAGTACTTTTTTACCAATAATGCTGACACAATCTCTTTTATCAAATTATGAAAATGCTCACGTTATCACAGCGTGTACTTTATGGCTCCCATAACTGCACTTGCCCTGGGCAGGATTCCAGGCACCTGCAACCTATGCTAAGGTCTTTAGGGTTTGGCTATTCCTCAACTGGAAGAAGGAATGAATAACATCCTCGAAAAAATGAAGAACTTGGTCACCACATTAAGACATTGCTTACAACTAAATGTGCAGGTAAGTGGCCCACTCTTTCTTTTCTTAGGTTTCAGATGAAACAGATACAACATTGACACTGAGTTAACAAGGTATCTAACACCCCAGTGAGACGTACAGATGCGCTCACACCTCCTAGAGCACTTCTAGCACACCCCGCAGACTTGGGCAAGTGGCTCTGAATCACGCTCCTGAATTTCTCCTGCATATAACATAACTACAACTTTTTTTTTTTTTTTAGTAAGCAAATCCTACTGTGAAAGAAGTACACTATGACTACCACCTCTAGCACTCAAAGCACTCAAATTCAGGCTGTGGATCTAAACAGTCTTGCATCATCACAGTTTAACTGAAGATGGTGACACTCTGTAGAATAGCTCGTCTCCCTACAGAGAACCCAGTTCTGGGATCCCAGCTTTACACCGTTACATTAGATTTTTTTTCTTTTTTTTGGCAAAGTGTTGCATACCGGCACTACGCTACAGAGAAAGTTGAGGAAGGGGAAGAGTAATTTTTTTCTGCAAAAGTGTAATGAAAACTAAGTAAATAATCTCGGTAATACAGAGCATTTAATTGGAAGCTACTGACAAGTTCTATGCATTCTGGTGCAATCATAAAAAACAAAAAAATACAAAAAAAATATGATTTCCAGTAAGCATGGTAACCATGAGAGCGCACTGGGATATGTTTATGACATTGAAGTCAATGAGAGTCAAGGCCCACAATTCTCCAAACACAAATTGCTGAGTAGGAAATCAAGCCAGCAGTTCAACATTTCTGAATCAGGTACTGTTCAGCAGAATTAATGAATTAAAGATTAACTTGCTCGCAGAGCATGTGTACACGGTCACCTCATGAGGCCATCACTAGGAAGGCAACAGATCTTCTTAGAAGAACTGGCTCTACCTGAAGCTAATTAACAGATATGCTGACTGTAAATAAAAGCAGGAGGTGGTAAACAGAAAAGAATAGGAAGTGTGATGGAGCTCCCAACTGACGCAGCGTGTCAATAAATGTTAGTTAAAACTTAGATGCTGCTTTTGTACTCTCTTAAGGAAATCTATTACTATCACATTATTCTGCAACACAGCCTAACCTAATTTCTCTGCTTCCTACTAGAGAAGATATTTTGGATCAACTCTACATTTATTAATTACAAAATCAAGCTTATTAAAGTTATTGTTTTATGTACAGAATGAATCAGCTGATTTAAAAGTAGAAATTATGATATTCCTTATAGCCCAGTACAAACTAGTAGCTCTAGTTCATAGAAAAATACTCAAAACGTTTCAAAAACACCAGTGAGATCAATGCAAAAGCTGTATTCGACAGACAAGAGACTGAAATCTACAACGGGAATTAGGATTTTATAACCAGAGAAATATTTTTTTTCCCCTCTACCTTCAGCATTTCCTAAATCTGCAGAAAAATATAGTTTAACTCTTTGGGTTTTGGCATGAGATTCCTTATATCTATTTTAACACGGCATTTTCCTTCACTGACTCACAACTTTCCTGCCAATAACGGGCTACCTATGAAAAAAACAGTTTTGATGGTATTAAATACTGAAGGAATGGTAATGTCCATCCCCCACTCCCTGCATCAAACACCCAAAATTTAACTCCCACTGCAAGTTAGATTGTTTTGTTTAAGTCCCCTCTCTCATTTAAAAATACAATTTTATAAACTTCCTCAAGCAAGCAGACGCTTTAAAGTAACCAGGACCACTGACATTAGTAAAGACTATTTTCCCGAGAAAGTTTTGCAGGGTGTAATCTTCTCTTTTCCTTGAAGTTTTAGTAGTTACTACCTGCTACTTAAATGAAGGAAATTTAATAGTCTCAGTCCAATAACTTGTGAACACATGTTTACTTTGCACCCAATTATTTCCCACAGTTCTTCCAGTTTCAAAAGAGTGGACAGATTTGGCAGCTCCACTTGCCTCTCACTTCTTGACACTATCATTAAGATTCAGATTAAGGCATATAAATGATGTGAGAGAGCCTGTACTGTCCTTGCCATACTTTGTCATCTAGAGACGGCATTACACTCTCTCTTTCACTTCACAAATTTTTAAGTTACTTTTAAAGGAATGTATATATTTTTATTGTATTTTTAGGAAAGCATGGAAATAATTTTGGTTTTTTCCCCAACTCAAATTTGAATATACTCAGATATCTCTTTATAAAATGATTACTTTAAGTAAAGATAATCAACTATATAGCACTATGCTTCCAAAAATATGTGGATTCCACACTATTGATTAACAGCTGTAAAGTGGTACCATGAGAACTCACTCTTATAACTACACTTTAGTATTGTGCTCTCCGTCCTCCGCCCTCTTTCCCACCACAACTGTAGTTGTAGAATCATGGATTTCTTTTTCAATAATATTCAAAGTATTAAATTTTGTCTGGCTATTATCTTTTCCTGTAAAATATTTATTTAAAATAATTCCAGAACAGTAATAGGGAAGAGGGAAATTACTGGTCATCTACTGACAATGTACTATAATTAAATACTGTTGGCAGTAAATGCAAAGACCGTATGTGTACCCTGTCAGGTAAAGAAACAAAAGAGCTCCTATCTACTGTGGTCAATGCAACTGCCAGGTAATATTAAGTATACATTGATATGACTAGATATATCCACTTTCAGCTAATCACAGCACTTCAGAAGAGTTTATTTAAAACATAGAAATATTTAGCTGCAGTCTTACAAAACTAAGCATGTGCTCATTTGCAGATTTCATCATTAATGCCTATGAAGGGCCAAAAAGTGGAATAATGCTCAGCAGTCATGAAGGGATCTAAATTATGTTGCCATGAAAACAAAGTTAAAAATATCTAGAAAGATATTTCTGTAAGAGGGTAAGATGCAAAACATGCAACAAAAAATTACAATCAACTTTTACTTAAAAAAAAACAAGCAATAAAAAAATAACAATCAGCTTTCGCTCAAGAACACCACACGTTGCCAGCTCCTGATGGATTCTGGCTAGTCTGCATTCAAATATTGAACTAATAATGGAACATAACACATCCTAAAACTAATGCAAGTCATATTAACAGTTTTCCTCCTTGAATTTCAGTATTAGCCATGTTTTCTCTTCTCGCCTTAATACAAAGTTGAGTGAACTCTGCAGGCATCTTACACTTACACTCTGTCCACTGGCTTTGGAAGAATACCCAAAAAGGTTCACCATTATATTTAAGGCATGGTTGTAGCAAATTCTTATCACTGCAAGAGACAAGAGAGAATGAAAGAGAAATGAAAGCTGCAAAAGTAAAAAAAAAAAAAAAAAAAAAAGAATATAAGTTTTGAGACTCTAGAATCGTAACCTATTTAAATGAAATTCTGTATTTCAATGCTGGTATCACTTGTGATTGGCTTACGCCATTCTTGGAAAATGAAGTTTTACTTCTGATAAATATTGCTGAATTTCAAGTTACCAAAGCCTGCACTTATTTTTTCTGACTCAAGAATGGCTATGCCAGTTCAGATCAAAAATCTATTTAGCTCAGTATCCTCCTTCCAAAAGCAGCCATAAAACAGGGCGAAGAGAAGAGAGCAAGAGCAGGGAAATCATATACAGTGTTTTCCCTGAATACCCTCCCAGCCTTCCACTATATTCGACTCAGGGGAGTTCCTGAGACTGATGTGATTTATCTATTTAGTTTCCCCCACTGGGTGTCTCTCAAGTACTTATTCCGTTCCCCTTCAAATCCACACAAACTTTTTGCATCCACAGCATCCTGGAGTAAGGCTTCCTTGGGCATAGAACTGAGAATTACATGTGCGGTGATGCGATCTTTTGTGTATACTCACTGTCAGTGGACACAGCTACTCACGTTTGCTTATTAAAATCCAGCCAAAACAAAAAAGCAAGATTGAAGCACCCCTTGAAAGAAACTGAGTTTGCACATATTGCCAGTATAAGTTCAGTCTAGTGGGAACTAGCACTGAACACTGTAAAATGCTGCAATAGCAAGAATTATAACAAGGTCGAATACAGCTAGAAAAGCAGGCAGATGTCATGAGTGAAAAAACAGACACCCTAACAAAGGCAGCAAAAAACCTCAGAGAGCCTCCCTCAGTCCAACAACTGAATTTTGATCCAGGGAGGTTAAATATAGGGCTGCTTGAAAATTTTCCACTGCATCTATTTTTTGATGAGAAATTGGGTTTTCAGCTACACACTTTTTGGTTGGATTTTTTTTGGCATGTCTGAAGAATGTGCTTTGTGCTTCTGCAAATATACTTTTCTCACCAAAAAGGCAAACTTACCGATCAGAATATTTTGATTGGAAACAAAAATGTTGATTAAGAAGTGCTAGTGCTGCATATCATTAAATCTGTGTCTTACCTGGTTCACGTGGCAGATCTCCTCCTCTATCAACTGGACTCGCCATTTAAATGACAACCTCAACAGCTGATCACTTTGAAGGATTCCCTACTTCCTCTACTCCCTGCGAAGAGGGGAGATCATGGCACAGTATCAAAGATGGCAGGCAGCCTCAACTTTGCAGAACAGGACCAGCAGGCGTCCAAATGACAATGTCAGAGAAGGACCACAGTAACATTTTTCAAAACAAAAAGTTTTAGTTTTCTGAAAAGTTTTCTAGCCCTCTGAATTCTGCCAAAACAAGTAGGTCTGTCCTGGAAAAGTAAGACAAAAGTGAAAAAAAACTTTATATTTTTCTTCAAATAATCTTGCAGGAAATCATAGCGGTCAAGTAAGGTTTTAGTCCTTAACCTGTAAATTCCAACCCAGCATCTGAATCCATACACACACAAATCAGAAATACTTTAACAGTCAGACATTTCAAGTTTTCCACAATAGCCCTGTTAGCTGGACTACTCTAAAGCTAAGGAGCTAAAATCAAACAAAAACAATCGGCGTTTGTTAGATGGGATAACTTAGTGTTGTGAGCCCTAAGTAATAAAAGATCAACCAGCATAACACATACACAAGCCCAAGTGAGTAAAGGATAAACACAGGAGAACTGCATTAATTCAAACAGTGTGCTTGTAATAGTCAAGAAAGAACATAATACAGAAAATCTGTAAATCCGGATAGGGAAAGTAGCAAGAAAATTGAGATATTCCACTTATTCCATTCTTTCAAAACAGTTAATTCAGTAAATTAAGCAGCAAAAAATCAATATGACAAAGCTAAAGCAACAAATAGTAGGAGTAACAGCTATTCCACTACGGCTGTCATCACCCTTTTCCTTAGGAACCCCAAATCCCCTGGAACAATTGAAAGCCTCTCATCCAGAAACAGGCCCGGACCCACCCAAAGCAGTGAAGAACCTAACTCATGCTACCAGGGACGACACTTGCTACTTGATCTTTAAGCCCACATTTCTATTATCCATCTCCTGCCCTGGGGCTGCTGCCTACCACAGCTCTCCCTCCCCGCAACCGTGAATGCAAAATAAATGAATAAATAAAAGAACTAAAAGGGAGAAAAAAAAAATCAATCAAGACGGCATCTTTTGTAACAGTGTTGTGAGTCCACAAACTGAAAATAAAGCTTATACCAATGGGCCACTCTTTTTGCTTTTCCCCCTACCACACACACAGAGGACAGCTCCTGCCATCATTAGCACCAACCAAGATCTAATAACATTCAAAGTAACTGGCATATAAAAACCCTTTTTGAAAACTCAAGGGCTAAAAGGAAAGGAGGGACATTTTGCTGTTACAGCAAAAGTTCCTCTCAGCACTTTGTTTTTCAGTTACAGCATTTTTTATTAAAATAAAAATAGAGGAAAGTTTTTAAGGGTGAGTTTCAGCTGAGACTAGGTACCCTAAGAGCTCCATATAAGCAATCCCAAACATTACTTAACTCTGATGCCCTGCATGGAGTTAATATCTTTGACTAATACTATAAAGTGAAAAGTGCTAACACGACTTGTCATTCTCAAGGCCAATGTATCTATCAAAATTAATACAAGCCCAAGCCTGCTGTCCTTATTCATATTTGAAATCACCAGTCACTCATGTGTTGTTCCAGCAAAATTAGCAAGTGAAGGATTAGCCAGCTCCAACCCCAGAGACAAAAATTTTGTTCAGAGTAAGTGAAACACAAAGAATAAATATTCAGAATGAGTGATGAAAGATATGTTTGTTGTTTCAATTTTAACTTCAGGGCAATGAGTAATTTCAGTAGCAATCTCTAAGTGTGATTTTTATCATTCGATACTTTTAAAATTACTACTGTGCATCCTCCATCTAAAGCAGGGATTGGAAACAGTGATACTTAAAGACTGTGGACTTCAAACACATGCAAAACACTGTTCCTTTGAATCGTGCTATTATTGACTTTCGAGGTGCAAAAAGTAGTTTCAGAATTTAAGAACAACTTTGTATTGTTCAAGGATTAACAACACAAGTTCCTCTTCAAATCAGTTGCACACAATTTCACTTCCTGATTTTATCTGTGTTTTATCCTTATCCATGCCTTTCAACACAAAGTGTCACTTCTTTCCTTCAGTTCATGTTCATGAAATACTTCTTCCTAAGTGCACGGCCTCATTAATTTTTCATTTCATTTACAGCATGCGAGAGGACATACACATAAGCTAACGTCTCCATATAATTTATGCAAATGTAGGTAAATCAAAGTGGACTACATTGCCTAATACGTCCCTGCATAAACTCAGATAACCCAGACTAGCCTACTACGGATGGGGCATCCTTAGCTCAAAGCCTTTCATATCAGCTCCTTACAATATAGTAACTGAGCCACTCCATATCTGCTTTACAGTATATGAGAAAGAATTCTGTACTCCCTGCTTCTCTCTTATGGTTCTTCCCTATACACTGTCAGCATCAAAACTCAGAATTGGTAGCAGTTGCTTGTGCTATTATCCTGTCTACTATCGCATAACCCAAATATATATACACCATTAAGGTCAAGTTATAGAGCCCCCTTAACTCCTCAAGTAAATCTGGCATTAAAGACCAGAGGTATTGCAGTCTGTAGCACAGGTGGGCTATTAATAGAGTCTGCCAAACAGCTGGCAAAATAAAAAATTAATATTAGGTCAAAATGAAAAATGGTGTCCCCAAGAATACTCACTTTCTTTCATAATCCTTATAATCCGTGTCTTCTTGCATCCCTTCCTCCTCCATTGTGCTTCGCTAAAGACAAAACATCATACGACTGCGCTGAGCGACAACACAGCGCAGCCCAGTCATTGATCGCACGGTGTGGAGGAACAGAGGCAAGTTCTTTGACAGAGATTGATTTTATGTATGCTAAACAACTGTTCCCGCTAACAGTTGCCCTGTGCTGATTCTGCTGTTCCTGCTGCTTCTCTAGCTAAGCCTACCTATCCAAAGCAGCCTCAGGAAGAAGTTTGATCATGGTGTGCTCCCATGCTCTGCAGAAAGTCCTCTAATGACATTCAGGCCCACAGCCTGCAGCTTCACTGCTGGAGCCCTCCTCAGAACACAGCATCGATCAACCACTTTGTCATCCTCCTTTATGGTACAGGGACAGCAAAGCACACTTGCAGCAGTTTCTCCTCCTTCTCTGTCACCTGCTCACTGTACTCCAGGAGTAAGACTAGATTCAGCCCATTTTCTTTTTTGCCTGCAGGCTCTCTCACCTCTCACTGACCAGTGGTAGCATCATGCCCCTCCACAGTCAGGTTTGACATCCCTGAAAAGTTAGTAAACAGAACATGATTTTTCCTGTCTGCAAAAAGTTGACGTGGATGACAGTAAAAAACAGGCTGCCCCAGAAGATGTGTCAATGCTATTTATACTTTCTCTGAGGCAATAAAAAATCCATGAAAATAGAAGATATATATGCGTACTAGTACTCTCCCATCCCTGTTTTTGCAGGATTCTGAGTGCTGGATTTTTGCTGATAATTCCTGCTTTGCATACTTGCAGAAGTACAAATCAGTGCGTTCCTTTCCATACGTGGACTGCCCACCATGTTGCTCAACTCTGGACCACATGTGGCATGAAGAAGAAAAGGTTGGACTGGAAAAGAAGAGTTTCTTTCACCTTTAATTGGCACTTTTTAGGGAAAAACTGAACAGAAGATGCCACAACTCCACCTCACACTGCCTACTAACCTTGCAGCAAAGATATTCTTTCCTTCGGTTCCCATTTACCCTGCCCTTAAAAAGTCCTCCAGTTTCTAGTGTCATGCTGTTGTTCAGTGTTTTGCCCATGCAAAATCTCTTATGTCTTGTAGCTAGCCAGAATTCGTGGAGACAGTCCCTGGATAAAGCACTGTGGCCTGCGATAGGAAGGAGATCAGCCCAGACAGCTATAACAGCCCCTTCTGGATTTAATCCATGAAATTACTGGCTTCAGTCAAGGCTTCATTCTAACAAGATTATTTGAACAATTTCCACGGACGGAGTTTTTCTTTTCAAACATTTTTATAAAAGCACCATTCATTGACCTATCCAACGCAGACAATGCCATACCAAAATTAACTGGTGAACAGTAGGTGGGAACTAAAAAGCAATTTTATTTCACTCTTATAAACTAAACATCTAGGGGTTTTTTTAATAAAAAAAAATCTTTAAAATCCTGGAATTTATGAGCAATTTTTCATTTTCAAATAAGAAATCAAGAGCCAATTTACTAAGCCCCCTACACTATAAAGCCCTGTAGTTATCATTACATCTTTTGGTGTGATCCATATGATACCGAGCGCAAAGTTTTACTCCCACAAAAAAAAAAAGAAAAAACATATATATTTTAGGAGGAACATTGACTGTATCTCAAGTAGTGGCCTATACTCTTGAACAGAAGTTTAGAAACAAAAGTTTTTGATAAGATTTCAGAAAATCTGTGGCAGCTGACATTTGCAGAAGTTTTATCTACTTGGCATCAAATCTATAGGTTTGAAAAGGTTGTAATACCTGTCACGTTTTTGCATTCATCTCCCAGGTTTATATTTTCACATGATTTGACGACTGGACAGCTGTTTTGAAATCCCTACAAAAATGCTCTGAAGTAATCTATATTATCATAGCAAAGCTCAGGTTTTTAGAAAATGCAGCCGCTGCATTTTCTGGAAAAAAACACACAAAGCATTTTTAAGACTTGACCCTTGATTCCTTCATCTCAATACTTCTACTGACTTCAGGGAAGTCTCAGTGTATGAGGAACACAAAACGGGCTGTGATTCCACAGCCTTTAGCTACCCAGGCTGCTTTTCAGTTAAATAATGTAAAGCACCTCCCTACAGCTGTGCTTTTTTACATATCTGGAAGACAATTTCAAAAATTATCGAAGTCTTACTAGGGAATTCAGATATGTAATCATTACTACATTGCTGCAAGTGTCCACATTACTAATTCAGTTATTATTGAACAGCTTCATGGTATACAGTAACTTTGTGCTGCATCTCTTTGACACTGCAAAAAGAACCCAAGAACCCATGAATGACAGTAAAAATGAAGCCAAGCGTACAACCGAGAAACTTGGTATCCTCTTATTTCTAGGAGAGTTATAGTGTAATTCTAAACTGTAGCATTCAACATGTCTCCTGAGTTTCCTCGCTGAAATATTGCAATGGAAATTTTACAGCATCTGTGTTGCTTTTGGAAGCCATCACTTCACATCTGCTGTCTCTGTAGTGTAGAGCTTAAGTTCAGCGTAAAAAGGTACTTTGTAATAAGCAACAGGAATCCTGACAGAGTGGTAATTTACCGACTCACCCAGATCTCCTGACTAGACTCACTCATTTTTACATGCTGTAGAGATTTTTCAATAAGGTCCTTTTCAAGCAGCCAACAGCATAACAGTCACTTCTTGAAATGGATCATCAGGTCTAGCAAGAGACTTTTTAAACCACTGTCAGCGGCGGAGATCGCGACCAGATGACAAACTGTTCATTCCACTTCCTTCACCGGGCAGTCGCCCATGGTTCAAACTCCTAACGCTTTTTCCGTACGGTATTAACTGCTCTAAATTAGCACTAAAATAACCGTCTGTACGGAAAGTTCCGATTTTGTTCAAAAAAAAAAAAAGGGGGGGGGGGGGGGAATGGCCGGGCGGCTCTCCCGAGGGCAAGGCCATGCCCTCTGAGGTTTTATCTGTCACGTCTGAATGCGAAAGCTTCTCTCAGGTGTGCGGTGGGGTCGAGAGAAGAAAGGTTTTGTGAACGACTGCAATGATTACATAGGAAACCTGTTTATTGCTTCATTATTGCCCATTTCCTCCTAACTGGATAATCCATGTATTCATTTAAATAAAAAGAAAGAAGTGTAGAGGATCCTGTTAGCAGAGGCAACAAACTTCGGGTTGCCTTTGTGTTTTGTCTCATGTGCTTAACGTCCTGCCGACGCGGATTTAACAGCCCCCCCACACACACACACACGCGCGCGGCCCCCGCGCAGGGCTGCGCGCCGGGTTTGCGTCTCCCGGCTGGAAACCTGACAAAGCACAAAATTTAACGCCACCAAAAATAAATCCCCCCGCAGTGCCACCCTCCCGGCGAACTGAACGGCTTGCTCCCGAGATTACAGTAATTACAGCCCCAGCGTGAGCTCCACACAAGCGCTAAATGAAACAGCACATCAATTAAAGCACAAACGCCCCGTCCCGAGAGGAAGACAACCCCCCGGCACGGCCTAACGAGCGCGGCCCAACCT